TATAATGGTTTGGGGAAAGACCTGGGGCCCCACGATTCCAGGTTATGGGAGTCCTAGATTGGGGCACACCTTCTCCTCCAGTGCCCCCATGCGCTCCTTGAGGTGAAGCTGCAGTCGTTCGTTGGACTCGCTCAGCAACTTGTCCACTGTCTCAGACAGCCGCTTATTGTGGTCATCATTCATCTTCTCCCGCTGCCGGGCCTGCCCAGAGGAGAGCAGGGCACAGGTACTGGAGCCCTGAGCACTGCCCCTGCTCCCAGCTCCCACCCCCTTCAGCCCACCCCCTCATCTAAGGCTCATCCCTCAAGCCTCAAAGCCCCCTCACCCGCTGCAGCTCCTGGTTCTTCTCCTCCAACTGGGCCTCCAGCTGCCGAAGCCGCTCCTCAAAATTCCCATGACGTTCCTCAGCCTAGAAGTTGGAACCCATGGCATCTGACTGTCCCACTAGGACCCGGTCAGGCCTCACCTCCTCCATGGCTGGCTTCCAGGCCCCGCCCCTGGAGCTCCAGGCTCCTCCCCCACAAAACTCCAAACCTTGCACTTGAATCTCAAGCCCTGCCCTCTTCTATAAGCTCTGTCCCCTTCTCATTTCAGGTCCCACCCATCCTTTTAGTCCAAACTAGAAAACACCCCTGAGTCAGTTAGATCCTCCGGAGGAGGAAATGGCAATCCACTCCAGTATTCTTGCCTGGAGAATCCCATGGACAGAGGAACCTGGCAGGCGCTACAGTCCATAGTGTTGCTGAGTCGGACACGACTGAAGCGACTTAGCAGAGACCACCTCCCACCAAACCTCTAGGCCCTTCCCCCATTCTAAGTCACATCCCTTTCTAGATCCCAGGCCCTGCCCTTTCCATCTGAATTCAGGCTGTTGGTCTTCAACCCCTCCAGACTCCAGGCCCCGCCTTTTCTAAGCCCCTCCCCTTAGCCCCAGGGACTCAAGGCCCCGCCCCAGGCCGCCCTCACTTTATTGAGAGCCGCCACGCGCTGGGCCAGCTGGGCCTCAATTTCTGGCAAGGTCTCTGCCTTCTGCAGCGTCTGCTGCAGCTTCTGCTTGGCATCGTCCAGCCACTCGGCCAGCTGACGGCTCTTCTCTTCACTCTGGGGGACACAGACAAGGGGAAAGGAGGAGCTTGGTCATATGGGCCACAGCTTCACCCCTACCGCCCCTCCCCGGCTGGGCCCCCACCTGTCGGTACAATGACTCTTTGCTGGCCAACTCGTTTTCCAACTTGTCATTGGCGTCGTGCAGAGAGGTGGCCTCACGCTGGGCACTCAAATAGCGCTTCTCTAGCGTTGTGATCCGTTCCTCCATATCCTCCCGCTGTGCTAGCGCCTGCAGAGGTGACAAAGGACGGCGTGGACTACAGCTCTCAGAAGGTCCTGTGGGTTGCCTAGGCTTAGAACCTCAATTCAGGCACCCCAGGGTACACTGGGAAATGAAGTCCCTTGCCATCTGGGCGTCAGAAAGATGGAACCACACCTGCCAAGAGCTCCTGAGAATAGCCAACGTTACATTGCCTGCCCTCTGCCACCTGACAGATAAAATGGCGGTACAGCGCCTCCCATAAACTTTTGGGACAGTATTGGCTTATCATATGGATGACCTAAGGCCCAGGGGATGGAAAGTCTCCACTCTTCTTGGCCCACTCAAAAACCCAAGTCTTACATTTTTCAGCAACTTCTGGCACAACTCGGATTTAGAATCACAGAGCAAATGCCCTAGGGTCTCACAGAGAACAAAAGTCCCTTCCATCTGGGAGGCAACATCTGCCAAGACCTCCCAAGGTAGCACAGGTTTATAAAACCAGAGAAGGTGTTCCAGGGTCTCACGGGGAATGGACTCCTGCCTAGAAGTTGGTGTGGTGGGACCACACTTACTAATAAGCCCTTGGGCCATCCACACTTCAAATCCGAGGTAAAAGCCCCAGTGGATGATGAAAACAAAAGTGCTCTCTCCTCTTTCTCATTCGGGGCTTTAAAGAATCCATGCCCTACATTTCTCAGCAGTCCCTGGAGCGTGGGAGTTAAGATCAAGGATCCTCAGCCAGGATGGGGTGAAATACAGCCAATGGAGTTCAACTAAGAGGTGGGAGAGAATTTCCCAATGGTAACATAAAAACTACAACCAGATACTGGATGACTACCATTTATGTGCCATGTACCAACTCTCTGACAAGGGCCATAAATCCATTTAACAGGTGAGGAAACAGGCTCAGAGAGGAGAAGAATCCGCACTCATTGTGGACTGAATCCAGGTTCATGAGTTCTGTGACTATGGGCAGAGGGGAACAGGGAGGGTTCGGGGGAGAGGGGGGAGGGACAGAGGGCAGCCCAGCAGGGGCTCCGGCCTCACCTCCTTGAGGTCGCGCTGGAGCTTGGCGTTAGCTTCCTCGGCCTTACCCAGCTCGCGGTGGGCGGTGCCCAGCTCCTCCTCCAGCTGACTCATCTGGCGGCACAACACCGCCAAGCGCTCCCGCAGCTGGCACACCTCTGCCCGCTGCCGCTCCAGGGCCTCCTCCAGCTCCGCCGTGCGCCGGTTCGAGTCCCCACCAGGACCCAGGCCATTGGCAAGAGTCTGGAATGGGGACAGTGAGGGAGGAAGGCACAGAACTCAGATTGGGTAACACAGAGATAGAATTCAAAGAGAAAGCTGTCGGGGGTGAGAGGGAATCAAAGATCAGTTAAGGGCCATGGGAATCACAAATGTAGCTAGCTGACCTGAATCAGAGGTCAAAGGTCAGCTAGAGTCTGAGGGATTCAGATGGCCTAGTGTCTGTGAGAATCATACCAAACATTAAAGGGACCACCACAAAGTCACGGGGCTGAGTAGGACCACAGGGATGGGGGCCAGTGAGGAGCAAGGAGACAGAAAAACGCCCACCTCTTACCTGCCCATCCCCATCCTTGCCGGGCTCCTCTAGCCCTGACCGGCGCCTAGACAGCTGCTCTCGAAGGTTCAGAGTCTGGCAACAGGAAAGGGAGATCAGGGTGAAGGGGGTCCTACAACCCCCGTTTTACTTCCCACTGGCTCTGGTCCTGCTGGGGCCACACTTATACCATAGTCTACCCTTAAGCCCCGTGTCCTCATATCTCTCCTTAGCCACCCACCAGAGAGGAAGCCACTCTTAATCTTAACCCTAAGGTTAAGTCCTTGTGCCCAGACTTACCCCACCCAAACATTTCCTACGAAGTCGGTTCTTTCCCTTAGCCGCCCCCAGCCCTGCTTTTCTCCCTAGTCTCACTGTCACAGAGCGGTCCTCCACTCCCCTTAGTCCTGCCCACTGAATTTCATCTTAGAAACCCGGTTCTCCACAGCCCAATCCTACTGGTCCTGTGCCCTAGTCCTGTCCCCAGCAGATTCCAGGACCCACCCAATCGGCTCCACCCCATTGGTAGTTCACTAGTCCCGCCTCCTTCTTGGCCACACCCCCACCTCCTGATTGCTCAGCTCCAGCTCTTCCTCTAGGACTGCCACCCGCTCCAGTGCCATTCGCAGCCGCTCTCGGACCTGAGGATGGGGGCAAGACCGAGTGAGATGGAGATCAGACCCGATCAAGGACAGCTGATGCAGAACACCTTGGGATGGATCTGACAGGACGACATTATCATTCCTCTATTTATAATAGGTGTGCAGCCCCAACCAGCTAGTAAGGCAGCTTCACACTGGTATACCCTATCCCGTTGCTTTTTTTCTATTATCAGGTCTCTGCCTGCAGTAGTCTGTTTCAATTTCAAGACAGTCAACATTCTTCCCACTTGGGCTATCTCCAACCAATCACAGCCAGAATTTCTGCCATTCAAGACAGCCCCAGCCGACCACAGGTTTCTGTTCTACATGCAGTCTCTTCTGATTCTCATACCTTCTCATCCAGCGCCTTGTGGTGCTCGAAGAGGGATTTTAGAGCCTTGAGTACCTCCACCTCGGAAGAGACCCCTCCCGGAGACTGGGCCTGGCGTTTTACCACGGTCATGCGCAGTGACCTCTCGTGCCTGGACACCAGGCATTCCAGGTGTTCTAGGAGAAGCTACAAGGATAGAGCACCGGGCCAAGGAAAAGTGTCAAGGGAAGAGAGGCAGAGTGCAGGAAGAGGATTCAGACAGGTGGGGCAGACACAGGGAAGAAGTGGAGCCAAGTAAAGAGGTGTGAAGAGAGACAGGTCCGGAGAAGAGAGGGATAACGGGTCGGGGGTGGGGCGGTCAGGAAGAAGTGGAACAGAAAATGAGAACAGTTTTGGAGATAAGGGAGGGGACATGAAGAAGGAGGGGACCAGAGGAGACCCGCCCAAGTTGTGCAAGCAGGAAGAAGAAAGGAAGGCAAGACAGGGTATAAAAAGATGGGTCAGGCTTTAACACCCAAGGCTCCGCCCACCCCGCTTAAGTCCCGCCTCCAAGACGCCTCACCCGTGTATTGTTCCGCTCCGCCTTCAGCTCCGCAATTTCTTCCTCCCGTTCCAGTAGCTGTTCCCGACACAAGTTCAGCTCCTTCGTCAGAGCCGCAAACTCCTGTCCAGTGATGAGCAGAATTGTACAATCAAATCAATCCTTTCCCCATCTCCCTCATCCCAAAGGACTGGGAGGTTAGTAAGTCCCTCCCCTCTCGGCCAAGTCCCGCCCCTTCAAGCGACATAGGCCCCGCCCATCACAGGCAAGCCCCTCCTCCCCTAAAGGGTCAGGTCCCGCCCCTTCCTGCCGCCCTCCCCCTTGCCCTCGCGAGCCGAGGCCCCGCCTCCCTCAGGCCCCGCCCTGGCCCCGCTCAGACCTGGGGCAGCGCGATGCTGAGCTGGCGCTGCAAAGAGTCCTTCTCGTGGCCCAGCTCGCGCAGCCGCAACTGCGCCGTAGCAAGGCCGTCCTGCGCTTCGCGCAGCGTCTCCAGCAGGCGCTCGCGCTCTGTGAGCATCGTGACCATGAGGCGCTCCAGCTCGCCGCCAGCCTCGTCCGGGCCCAGCGCCGAGCCCCGCCGGCCATCCTCGCTGATGGTGGGCATCACCTCGCACATCATGGCGGCGGTGCTGGCCTGCGTGTACCGGGAGGGGGCAGGGAACCGAGAGCGGCTTCGTCAAAGCGCAGGCAACGAAACTGAGGCACGGTCACTGGGATACTACATAGTGAGAACTGAGGCTAGACAACCCAAGCAACTGCACAGCAGAAACGGAGGCCCATCCATTCCGATCATGGTGCAAGATAAATGGAAACCCAATGCTCTCAGGAAACCAGACCTAGGTGAGAGCACTTGGAGAAACTGAGGTCAGACTTCATCTGACAACGGGCAGCAAATCTAGACTCAGCCTATTAAGAGAAACAAAGGCCGAGTGACCCACTCCCTGAGAGAAAGTGGAAAGCTTGGAAGCCCCTCCCCTCCCACCCAAGGGCTTCCCAGGTGGCTCAGTGGTAAAGAATCCACCTGCCAATGCAGGAGACACAGGTTCGATCCCTGGGTGGAGAAGATCCCCTGAAGAAGGGAATGGCAACCCACTCTAGTATTCTTGCCTGGGAAATCCATTGGGTCCCACAGAGTCGGACATGTCTGAGTGCACAGGCACTCCCTTCCAGTCCATATCCCACCCTTGCAAGGGGCTCCAGCCCCTCCCATCACTGGCACTGTGGGAAAATCAGTCTACCTATTCTGGCCCTGCTGAGAATTCCCTTCAACCTCACTGTATGAATGAGAAAACTCAGGCCCAGGAGAGGGAGACTATGTCTTCAGGAGGTCACAAAATCAGGGGTCACAGGATGAGGTCACTGGTCATATACAGGGGTCATATACAGGGGTCACCTGTATAATGTCACAGGAATGGTCCTCAACTGCTCTTCAGCCCAATTCCTGCCTCCTTCAACTGCCCAGATATCTAGATATCTAGTTACAGGAGAATCTAAAGACTCACTCCAGGCAGAAGGAAAAAAAGATGGCATGGACCATGCTAGCCATTTCACACTACACAGGAATCCTCGATCCAGCTACTTCTTCCCTCAGGTCACAGGAATCTAGGTTCCCCTGTCCCTTCTGTCCCCAGAGAGAGGAGTCTGAGCCTCCATCCTTCTCCTCCCCAGACCCAGAAGTCAGAGACCAGATCCCTCTCCTTCCAGGGCACAAGAGTCTGGGCTTTCAATCTCCAACTGTATACCCAGAATCTCAGCCTTCAGATTTCTCTTCCCTCGGAATCCAGGCCCCCAGGACCCAGGAGTCTGGGTGCATGAGCCGTGGGTGGGGATGAAGGGAGCTCTCCTGAGACACTCCTCCTGCTCACATCAGGTCAGACGGGTCTGGCTGGCCCAGCCGAAAGCAGGAGGGACTTTCACTCTGTTTTCTCCTTTCTTTCTCTCCCTTCAGACAGAGGAATAACCGGTTCTCAGAGTGGATAATTCCCAGCCCCACCCAATATTTGGACTATATCTACAGCCTGGGACTGGAACCTTGGACTCCAGGGAGGAGAGGTAGGGACTGAGAGCCTCAGGACCTGGGAGAGGAGGCAACTAGGTGCCTGTACCCTTGGGTCTTTGAAGAGGTATATCTAGGAATCTAGACATCTGAGTCCCAACAGAGAGGTCAGATTCAAGAAAATGTTTGTAAGAGAGCAAGCCAGCCTTACGTAAAAAATCAGCATGGTATCTAAAACTCAGAACCTACTAATGAGATGCAGCTAGGGATGTTTTCAGGAGGCTGCTCTAGAACTTCAGATTCCCTGAGAAGGAAACAAAACTCAGCAAGGTTAACTGTAGAATCTAGAAAGACACAGTACAGCATGCAGAAAGGATATATGCTTCCACATTTACAATGTGCTTGGGGTAAGAGCCTCACATGGGACCAAATAGAGGGGCATATTCTGGAACCCAGGTCTAGAACCTTGAACTAGACAAGAGCAATCCAATAACTTAAAAGAGTGTCTGGTTCACCCTAGAACCCCAAACATAGAGGGGAGGGTGATGATATCTAAGGACAGACCTAATGCAGTGCTTAACAAACCTAAGTTAGAAGACATAAACAAGAACTCAGTACCTACCAGGTACGAAAGTATAACACAGAATATAGCAGAGGTCACATTCTTGGTTTCTTCATGTGTCTAGATAATGTTAGAACTCAAAGGGCAGAATATTTGCTCTAGAATTCAGAACATGCCCTGGAGCAAAGAAAAAAACCTAGAAAATAGCAAGAAGTTTGCCTGGAATTGCCTGGGGGAGAATGCTGAAGGAGGCATTCTGGTAATTGAGAATTTACTGGCATAAGGAATGAGCTGGCAAAGGAGGTGGGGGTGGGGGTGGTGTGTTCTAGAAATGAGGACATTTCTAGGCTGAAGACTCCAGAACAAGAGAGAGACTAGAGCATGTTTAGAATGCTGAAGTGGCAGATGGAAGAAGCCCACAATCCACCAGGGGACAAGTTCTGAGCCAAGGTCACACTAGGGGAAAAGATAGAGAAGGTGGGGATGGATGGGCTTAGAATACAGAACCTGAAGAAGGAAGGTGCAGTATAATCCTGGGGACTTAAGACTGTAGAACTGGATGGTATTTGAAATAAGGAGGTACAGGGACTTCTCTGGTGGTCCAGTGGTCAAGACTCTGCCCTTTCACTGCAGGGGGTGTAGGTTCAATCTCTGGTTGGGGAACTAAGATCCTGCATACCTCACAGCACAGCCCAAAAATAAATAAAATGAAATACGGAAGCATATTCTAGAACTGATAGCACAGTTTGGAGAAAAGCTAGAGCCCATAAATGGAACACACACACACACATTCTAGCACTGAGAATGCCCCTGGGAAAAGAACAGAATCTAGAATAATGCCAAGGATGTGGCTAGAACCTAGAACACACCCAAAATGAAATTTTAAAAGAAAATAAGGAAAGACTGGCTTCTTAAAAATTGGAATATGTCAGGAATTACTTGGCGGTCCAGTGGTTAGGACTAGGCACTTTCACTGCTGGGGCCTGGGTTGGATCCCCGGTCAGGGAACTAAGATCTGTGGGGGAGGAAGTGAAGCGGGGAGGAAGGAACATGTCTAAGGGGAGGAAAGTGGGATCAGAATTTGGCTTGGGAACACTGGCTAGAAATTTGAATTTACCTGGGGAACATCATGACTCGAATTTAGCATCTAACCTAGAATTTAGAACATACCTTGGGTGAAAAAGGAAGAGAGATGTTCACTGGGAGTATTCTAGGATTTAGAAAGAATTCCACGAAGCACTGCCAGGGTGCCTGTTTAGTTGGAAATATGGAAGACAATTCCAGATCACGAAATGAACCTAGGTCACAGAGCACATCTGGAGGAAGGGATATATGCTCGGCTTATCAGTCTGAGAATGTACTTGAAGGATGGGGCATCACGATATGAAAAAATCATGATGGGGTGCTGGAAGCGTCTCAAGAACCTGGGTCTCAGGGGAAATATTGGAAACCCCAGGAAGTCCAAAATCTGAGATGATATGGGGATGAGGCAGGGGTTTTTCAAGGCCACCAGAGTTGATGGGCAATAGTGAGGCTGTAGGGACTTGGGTTCCTAAGAGTAACAGCTGAACAGCTAGATACTTTGGAGGTCACAGTTGGGGGACTGGACTCCTGAATCTTTGTGGAGGCAAAAGACAGGAGATGGAAGTTTGGAGCCTGAGTCCTTGTTGGAAGGAAGGGCAGGGGTAGATGACTTTGATGGGCAGTACAGAAGATGGGTTCTGAACTCCTGGGTCACTGAGGGGAGGCAGAATCAGGGACAAGGCATCTAGGTTTTCAAGGGGGAGGACAGGCAGAAGCCAGAGAATTGCATTAAGAATTGCATTCTGAGCCCCTGAAAGGGAGGAATCATGGCGCCTGAATCCCTAAGGAGGCAGATGCTGGGGTGCCAGGAGGCTGAGTATATTTATTGGAGGGGAACAGAGCTTTGAACTGGGTCTCTAAAGGGGGCAAAGGCTGGGAAACTGAATTCTTTCCTGGAGGGGTGAAGGCTACCAGCTGGGGCCTCTAACCAGAGGAAGTGAGGACTGACAAGGCACCCAGAGCCGGGTAGGATCTGGATCCCCGGCTGCCAAGATCCCTAAGGTGGACCAGGCAAGAACATTCAGAAGCTCCGACTCCTCAAGTAGCAGCTGGGGTCACTGCAACTGGGGTGCTAAGGATGGGGCCAAGAGCCTGGCCAGCGGAATCCTGAGGCCCAGGCGCCCAGGTAGGGGAGGGCCTGGGTATTCCCAGGTCAAAGGCGCAGCGAGGGGGATCCCCGCGCCGCCGGCGCCCCCTCCCCGGCGGCGGCAGCAGGAGATGGGGGAGGCAAGGCTGCCGAGAATGGTGACCATGGACAGCTCCAGAGCGGGCCTGTGTCCAGGGCGGCCGCTGAGCCGGCCTGGACTGAGGGACTCGGCCAGCTGTACAAGCCGAAGGACCGGAGATGGGCTGACTGGGTCCCCGAATGGGGGACTATGCGGACAAGACCGGGGGAGGGGGGGCCGGCGGCTCTAGCTGGGGGAGTCTGACACAGCCTTGGTCGGTGTCGATCTCCCAGGACTGGGCCCAGGAGGAGGATCTTGGTCCAGAGGGGATTCCCGGGGCTGACCTGGGAAATTAAGGCTCCTGGGCCCTGGAGGAGGCGCAAGGCAGCAGTACGCCTGGGATCCCAGGGTTCGGTTGGGGACTCTGAGAGCCGGGAGGGACACGCCTGAGTCTCTGGGGTCGGGCTGTGAAATCTGGGCTGTAAGGTCCTCGGGGAAGGAGAAGAGAATCCAGGTTCTCGGGGAGGCGGGGGAAGCTCGGCGAGGGGTCCCCGGGGTGGGCGCTGCCAGGAGGGCCGGGCTGGGCTCTTACCTACCTGGTCCGCGGCGGCTGCGGGCGGAGCTGGGCTGCAGGAGGGACGTGGGGGGTGGGGTGGGGGGACCGGGCGGGGCCCCTGGCGGCCGCCGGGGCCCGGATCTGTAGCTCTGGAGCCCTGTCTCCGCGGCTCGCGCGGGCTCCGCGTCTCTTGCTCCGGCTTGGGCGCTGGGGACCCCCTCCCCTTCACCGTCTAACAGCCCTTTACCCCCTAAAATAGCCCCCTGCCCCTGTCACCGTTCAGCCTCCCCCCGCGAGGCCGCAGCCGCCAGATCTAGGGGTGCTCACCAGCGCCCCCCAAATCCCACCTTCCCCCGCCAAAAAAATTCCTCCTCCCTCCTCCCCCCAGCAACCAGCGCTGGGGCGGTTGTGGCCCCTTTAACAGGAGACTGACAGACGGCGCCGAGTGGCCAATGGGAGGTGGTGTCGGAGCCGGCCGGCGGTTAAGCCACGCCCCCGCGCTGCCTGGGAGGGGTCGCGCGGGCGGAGAGCGGGAGGCGGGGCTAAGGCGGGTCGGCCAATAGGCATGCGGGGTGAGGCGGCTGGGGCGGGAGGCGGAGCCCGGCATGGGGATGATGTCACCTGGAGCTAGTGGCGCCCGGCGTGGAACGCCAGTAGCGACCCCGGATTCCGGCGGTGGCGCGCGCCTGCCCTCGCGCCGCACGGGACAGGAGGGTTGGACGGGCGGCGAGGTGGGAGTAAAAGATAGCTTTTAAGATGGGGCGGCTCCCGGAGACACGCGCTCGGGTTATAAGGTGGGGTGAATGCCTGGTCGGCGAATGCACCTTAGTCTGCACCCCCTGAGCCCGCCTCGGGAACTGCACGTGGCACCCCCACCTCCCGCGCAGACTATTGCGCGGCCGGCACGGCTCCCCCGGCGGACTAAGCTAATGGTTCGCTCCGCCCCGCCCACACAGAGGCCGCCCACTGACTGGCGCGTTTCAGGACTCCTCTGTCAGACCAGCTACACAGAAAGGGGGCTTGGCTTCCGCCCTCAGAATCTCAGAAGGGTTGGGGGGAGTTGTCTTCAGCTCTGATCCCGCGCTCAGACCCAGACCGGGTCCCAGCCTCTATCCTGGACTTATCGCCAGGAAGCCGGCCAGCCTCTGTCTTCGGACCTGGCAAAAGCTCTCAAGTTCCGCTCTCAGACCCTGAAAAGTGTCTGGTCTCGACCTCAGCTTCTCTCCCTTCTCCCACATCTCCAGACACTCCAACCCCTGGATGCAGGACAGACACAGACACTCAATGAGGGTCAAAGATCTTTAAATAAGGAGTTGGTGACAATAAATACTGTACAGGGGAGGGGGTGAGGGTCCAGATCTGTGGTTTCAGCCTCGAGACTCCAAGGACCTAAAAGGAGGGTGAAGAGAGGGGAGCCAAGCTCAGCAGAGGGGACAGGGGTAGGCATGGGAGAGAGCCAGGATTGGGGTTCCAGAGCCAAGAGCCCAGGGAAGTGGGTTGAGGGATTCCGAAAAGAGCAGGTTCCCCATCTTGGGGTGGGAGTGAGCTAAGTAGGGGGCCCCAAGGTAGTCAGAATGGCTTGGGGTGAGAGTCGGGGTCAAGGGTCAGAATCCCAGGGAAAGGAGCCAGGGCTGGGGGTGGCAATCAGTGTCTCAGAAATTACCGGCCTGGTCTGGGAGTCTGGGGATGAGGGAGGCAGAGGAGCCCCAGGGGTGTGGTGGCAAAGGGCTCACGAGTAGCTCTGATGTTGCTGGCGCCGCCGGGCGGAGCGCATCTTCTCAAAGCGGGCTTCCATCTCCTCCAGCACCCGAGGTGTGTAGCGTACCACCAGCTTCACTGAGCCCTGGGCAGCCTTCAGAAGTTCCACTGCCTTCTCATGCTGCTCGCCCTCAACGCTCTGCAGGGGCCATTCAAACAGCTCATCTTTATCCCCTTCCTCCCTGGCGAAGCCTGATGACCCCCCGTCCATCCCTTCTGCCCTGTTTTTTGTCCCCACCACCTGGCTCCAGCTCAAACCTCATCCTTGATGTTCCAGCCTCCCATCTCTTATTCCCCAGAGCCCCAAGAGGGTCCTTCTACACCTCCAGGCTGAGCCTATCCTTCCACTGCTCACAGTGCTCCCAGGCTGGCCCCAACCACCTATCTAGCTCTGCCTCCTTCTCTAACCACAGTGGTTTTAATTATCTGCACGCCCTAGTCCATCAGAATCAAGCCCTTTCTCTTCAGCTCACAGGACTGCAGAGTCACAGTCCCTGCCTACAGTACCTTCAACCTAACACTCTTCTCCACCAACTCCTACTCATCCTTCAAAACCCAACTCGAGGGGACTTCCCTGGTGGTCCAGTGGCTAAGACTCTGTGCTCCCATTGGAGGGAGCCCAGGTTCACTCCCTGGTCAGAGAACTAGATCCCACGTGCTGCAACCAAGACCTGGAGCAGCCAAAACAAACAAACTCAAATGTTCCTTAATCTCCAAAAACATCCCTCATCTACAGTAGTCTGGTGCCACATCTGGCTCTCACAGTGCTCTGTGCTTCCTCATTATCTCCTTGGTTTAGGAGTATTTCAGCCAGAGTCTATCTCCCTCACCCGAGAGGGTGTCCTTGGAGGTAGCAGCAGAGGCCAGTTACTCTCAGCATGTGTGCATGCTAAACTGCCCTCCAACTCTTTGCAACCCTATGGACTGTAGCCTGCCAGGCTCCTCTGTCCATGGGATTCTTCAGGCAAGAATACTGGAGAACGTTTCCATTTCCTTCTCCAGGGGATCTTCCTGACCCAAGGATCAAACGAGGGTCTCCTGTATTGGCAGGGGGATTCTTTACCACTGAGCCACCTAGGAAGCCCCCCAGGAACTCTCAGGGTCTGCAGCAAAGCCCAGAACAGGGTGAGACACAGAGGCAGTGGTCAGTGTGTTCAGTGAATATGAAAAACAGGGACTCTTCTCCCTTGGGCAGATTATGACCCCCAGCCCTGCCTCAGCCCCCAACTCACCACACCATTCACTGACAGCAGCTGGTCCCCACGCTTCAGGCCTCCGTGGCGGTCAGCTACGCCCCCGGGGATGACACGGGAGATATAGATAGGCGAATTCTGCTCCTTGCCCCCCATGATGTTGAAGCCCAGGCCCTCGTCTGTCTTCGGCAGTTCCACTACCCTGGGATGTGCGTGGCCCTCACTGGCTGTGAAGGCGGCCACCGTGGCCTGGGAATGAGAAAGCCTTGGGAGGTGAGGACCCCCCCACAACAGGCATGCGCATTCCGGTGGAGGCTAGGCCCCTGCCCTGGAGAGGGATTTTGACCAGGGAGCTTTCTTCAAGAATGGGCCGCCTGCCACACAAGTCAACCAAGATCACTCTGTAGTGACAAGATGTCCGTTTTAAGTCACTTTGGACACTTCAGACTGTCAAAAAGAAAGTCTCCGTTTGGTGTGTGTGTGTCTTGAATCTCACTGTTTGCCAATCTCACTTTTTTACAGAGAGAAACAAAGGCCTGGACAGAGTCTCAAGCCTCGACCAAGCAAACAGCATCCAACCGTGGTTTAGTGAGATTTCAGTGTTTAACCCAAACTGTTTTCATCGTGTAAAGGTTTAAAGTTATCTTCTAGTCAGGCATTTCATACTAGTTTCTAATTGTACTTGCTAATTGCCTGGAGAATTCCATGGACAGAGGAGCCCGGTGGGCTACAGTCCATGGGGTCACAAAGAGTGGAACAGGACTCAGTGACTAAAACTTTCACTTTTCATTTTCAAAGATACCTTTATATGACATTGAAGCTACAAATGTGAGATTAATCAGAATACATTATAAATACTAGTAAAGGCGGTAGATAGATATGGCAAAAATCATGAAGGAGGAAAGAGGAATGACTGGCTTTAGGAAGACGCTGAGCTGGACCATGCGATTCAGTGGATTCCATGAGCCATGGGGTGGGGGAGCCTACCTTGGCCGTGGCGTGGGCCCGGATCTCAGCACTGCCGGTGATGTCCAGCGTGTCGTAGAGCTGCTCATACACCTGGTGAGGACGCAGCCCCGCCTCAGGGAGCCGCCAGGCCAGCTCCTCAACACAGGCGTCCAGGCCCGCAGACCCTCCCACCCAAGGGTCCGCCCCGCCCCCGCAACCCCGAAGCGGCGGAAACTACAACTCCCGAAGAACCCCTGAGCTGAAGCGCGGGCACCATCCCCGCCCCAGGAGGGCCGCCCCGGTAGCTGCTGGGAGGCGTAGTCCCTCGGCTTGGGGCGACCAGGAGGAGGACCACGGCCACCCGCCCCGTGCCCCGGGGCCGCGGTGCTCTCACCTCCCGGATGGCAGAGCAGAAGCGGCTCTGCAGGACTCGCTGGAGGGCTTGCAGCTTCTGCGGGGGCAGCTCCCCGCTGCGCTGGAGCCGCTCAAGGAGCTCCACCGCCCGGGACACTTCTGCGGGGCGGGGGCGGGGCGCACAGACACACAGAGTCAGAGACGCGAAGACGCAGAGAACACGGAGAAATTGCGGCCAGAGATCAAGTCAGGGCGAACGCAGACCCGGGGAAGAACAGCCGCGTCCTGGCCGGACACCCGCAGAGTCGCCGCGGGTGGCAGAGGAGAGACTGCGGACAGTCGGGCGTCCTGCGTCCCCGGAATCCCCACAGACACACACGCAGAGGTGTGCGTGCAGCGGGCGCCCCCTCCCCGGCCCGCTCGCCCACAGACCCTCCCACACCCTCCGACGGCCGGACTCTCGGCGCCCCGCCCCGCCCACCCCCGCCGGGCCCGCCCACCTGCCCGGGTCTTGCCCGGGGAGGGGCGGGAGATCGGGATGCAGACCCGGGGCCGGGTGGGCAGGGCCGCGGGACGCGCTTACCCCGCTCCAGCCCCAGCGGCTCCACCAGCGCAGCCATGTCTGCGCCGCCGCTGCGAGGCACCCTCCTGCCGGTCGCCGGCGAGGAGGGCGGGGCTGCGCGAGGCCACGCCCCGGCGACGAGCGCCCCCTGCGGAGGCCGGGCCCGGCGTGCGCGCCTGCCCTCCCGCCTCGGGTCCTATCTCGCTGCCCTGCCCTCAGACCCCATCCGGCTGTTGGGTTAGTGACCCCTCCTATTGCAGCTTCTGTCTGTCTGCACCACCTTCCATCTCATCTGTCTGTTCTGCCCGCCTCACCTGTCTGTCTCCTTTCTATCCGTTTTTTCCACATTCATTGTGGAAAGATTGAAGGCGGGAGAAGAAGGGGACGACAGAGGATGAGATGGTTGGATGGCATCACGGACTCAATGGACATGAGTTTGAGTAAACTCGGGGAGTTGGTGATGGACAGGGAGACCTGGCGTGCTGCGGTCCATGGGGTCGCAAAGAATCGGACACGACCCAGCGACTGAACTGAACTGAGTGAGCTATGTCACACACTGGGCCCAAGATCATGGATACGATGGTGAGCAGGGCAACTAAGCCCACTGCCCTCCTAGAGCTTATTCTATGACGCGGGTGGTGGTGGAGGCGGGTAGACAGATATGAGAGTAGGGAGGTGACGATCTAGGAGGGACACTGGTGGAAAGTCCTTGGAGGTAAGATCTTCAAGAGGTGCGGTGTGGGTCACTTTCCAGGCAGAAAGAGCCCCCATGGCAGGATAGCAGAGTAAGGACTGGAGTGGTTTATGAGGAAGGCGGAAAGGTTGACAGGATATAACTGATGCCCCGCCTTGTATGTTGGCTTATTCATGTTAAGGATTTTGGGCTTCATGGTAACTCTTACAAGTAAAATGTGATAGTCACATGTGTATGTTAAGATCACCATGGACACTGTGTGGAGACTGGATTGGATGGGAGCAAAACTGGGATCGGGGGACAGATCAGGAGGTCATCCCTGTAATCCTGTGATAAGCAGAGGGTATGATGGAGGGTATGATGTTTGGATGTGTCTTAATTGTATATGAGGCCTGAGAGGTGGAGGAGAAGGGGATATTAAGGTGCATGTGGGGCCTTTTGCTAAGATGGTCTATGCTGGTGACAGGACAGTAGATATTTTGACTTTGAGGAGCCTGTGCAGTAAACCAGGCCTGCAAGCAGTTCTGAGAATTTAGGCAAAGCTGCTAAATAACACCAGAAGAGTGAACAATGAATGCTAGAGAGTGAATGCTAGAGAGAAGAGAATCTAGAATGAAGAGGATTGAAGACAGAGTCTTCAAAACTCCTAATGTATAAAAGTCAGGAAGAAGACAAAGAATAGCTGGAAAGGTAGGAGGAAAACTCAGGTGGGAGAAAGCATGAGAAGAGAGTGTTTCTGAAAAAGGAAGTGAGTGGTGGTATCAGATTCTCTGGAGAGTCAGAGACATGTAGAGGCAGATGAGGCTGGAGAAGCCTGGCTATTCAACCATCAACGGATGCAGAAAGTGCATCCTCAGGTAACCTCACCAGTAGTGGGATGGAATCCAGAAAGGGGTTTTTGCAAAGCGAGAGGATGAGAGCAGGTTTGTTTACCCTCTTGCCATCATAGTGTTTTTCTCTTTTCATTTTAACAACAACAACAGAACATAGTTACGGACTTTAAAACAAAATGAAGTAATACAGAAGGATAAATATATTTTGTCCATTTTAATTTTTTTCCAAACGTTTTCTTTTGTATTGGGGCAGAGCTGATGAATAATGTCATGGGAGCTTCAGGTGATCAGCGAAGGGACTCAGCCCTGCACATACATGTATTCACTCTCCCCCAAGCCACCCCAATCCAAGCTGGCAAAGAACTTTGAGCTGAGTTCCGTGTGCTGTATGGTACGTCCTTGTTGGTTATCCATTTTAAATATAGCAGTACATGACCTAGAAGGATGAATATCGAAAAGCACCAGCCCAAGGGACTTTCCTGGTGGTCCAGTGGTTAAGACTCTGCACTTCTAAAGCAAGGGGTGTGGGTTTGATCCTTGGTCAGGGAACCAAGATCCCACGTGCCATGTGTGGAGGCCAAGAAAATTAAAAAACAAAAACAAAACAACCCACACTCACACACAAAATGGAAAGCACCAGCCTCTGTCCCCATCCTAATTCTCCTCACTGCAAGAGGCAATAAGGGGTAGATGTTTCACCTGCTAGTTGCTTCTGTAGCTAAGTAATATATCATTTCTCAATTTTTCAATTTTAGCTGTTAGCAATATATTACATATTGATTTTCTGCTCTTACAACCTTTCCCCTCTCTTCCCATGATAGTTTTATGGTACCAGTTTTTAGGTCAGTCAATAAAAGGCTCACATTATGTCTAAGTATTCAATACTTACTGTTGGCTGTATGAGCTCGAGTATTATCCTGTGATTACATTTCCTTTCTTGAACAGCTTCCATTTTTTTTCCCTGTAATGTCTATCTGCTTTTGTTTCTTTCATCGTATTCTTAATTTCTTTCAAACTCTGCATCACAACACTTACTTTATTGACTCTTTTTATCCAGAGGCTTCTTGTAAACTTCAATCCTCTGACTCCAGTCTGAACCAAGAAACTGCCGTCCTGGAATGTCCCTCCACTGCCCTGCCGAACCGGATCATCTCTTTTTAACTCGTTCATTTCGGTAAAGTATATCCCCCATTATTAATAACTCCCTAAAAAGATCGTTGGGGGGAAACAAAGATTGTGAGATTTTTCCTTCAGGAAAGTTCCTCTAATTCTTTTTTCCCCTTGCACATCTATTATATAATCAACTACCAAATGTGTCTACTAATTAATTGCAGATTGTTTCCAATTCTGAAATTTCCAATAGACCTGATTTTTAAGATTCCTGTTAAACTTTACAATTTTAAAGATCTATTCAAATTCTCCATTTTCCTTATTTTGGGAACATAATTATTTCAGCCTCTGATAATTCCAATGTGTTTTTATTGTCTTTTCCTCCTTGAATAGATGCTAAGTATTGGCACTAAGGGTTAGCCTCTGGTTGCTCAGACAGTAAAGAATCTGCCTGGAGTCAGGAGACCCTGGTTCGATCCCTGGGTTGGGAGATTCCCTGGAGATGGGAATAGCGACCCACTCCAGTATTCTTGCCTGGAGAATCCCATGGACAGAGAAGCCTGGGGACTTACAGTCCATGAGGTCGCAGAGTGGGACATGACTGAGCAACTAAGACACACACACATTTGTACTGAAAACCACGTAGGCTCTCCCTTCCTCCACAGAAAGTTCAGTTTTCTTCTGGCAGGGGAGAGGTCTGGTTTTAGGTTTTCTTAGGCCTGGTCTATTTCACATGTGACCCAACTCCAATGTTGTGTTACTCTGGGAGTCTCAGGCGTAGCCATCTCTCCACTGCAGGCCTGGAACCCAGCCTGTCTCCCCCGGGGTTACATGGCTGCTCAGCAACTTAGCCTCCTTTACTGCTTTCTGATGAGCCCCCTGGGGGTCTTGAAAGGACAGCGAGCCGCTTAGGCATTGGCAGATGCCTGCGGGGAAGACTGCATGTCCATTCTGGGACTCAGCCCTATCTGGGAGTTTCTCCCTCAGGTCCCACTGTCTGGTCCAAACTCTGTCAGCTCAGCCGAGTTGAGGACTGCCACTTTCTGAGTCTTTTCCACCACTTTTTTGAGTCTGTCCTGCCACAATAATTGGCAAATATCCTCAAAGGGAAAAGTGAAAGAAAGTGTTAGTCACTCAGTCGTGTCCAACTCCTTGTGACCCCATAGACTGTAGCCCACCAGGCTCCTCTGTCCATGGAATTCTCCAGGTAAGAATACTGGAGTGGGTTGCCATGCCCTCCTCCAGGGGATCTTCCCGACCCAGGGATCGAACTCAGGTCTCCCGCATTGCAGGTGGGTTCTTTACTGTCTGAGCCCCCAAGAGTAAATATGAAGTTCACCTCTGTATGCTTTCCTTTCTTGGTATCAGACCCCCTCAAATGTGGCCTACAACTGTTTGTTCCCCAAAGCCTTTCACAAGTTACTTTTCTATGTTTTGTCCAGTCTTTTTTTCCTAAGATTTCTTTCTTTCTTTACGGCTGCGCTGGGTCTTTGATGCCGTGTGCGGGCCTCCTCCAGTTGCGGCAAGCAGACTTCTCATTGCAGTGGCTTCTCTTGTTGCAGAGCACACACGCCAGGGAGCGCAGGCTCGGTAGATGCAGTTCCCGGGCTCCTCAGTACTTGTGGCGCACGGGCTTAGTTGCTCCGAGCTACATAGGATCTTCCTGGACCAGGGATCAAATCTGTGTCTGCTGCATTGGTGGGCGGATTCTTTGCCACTGAGCTACCAGGGAAGCCCCTGTCCAGTCTTTATGTACCTGGTCTGTTGCCGGGCTATGGTCCACAGAGTCACAGAGAGTCGGATGTGACTGAGTGACTTAGCACGCACACTATGCCAGGAAAGTCCAAAATGGACTGTTTTTCATAATCAACTCCAGAAGTATGGTTTCAACATCTGGAGTATCTATGAAAATACAGTCATCAGAGGTATTAAGTTTGTTTTTTTTTAATTATTCCCTAAATTGTTTTCTCCAGGACCAGTTTCTCTATTTATCTTGTAGTCTCTTTTGGCACATTTTTTTCAAATGTCTGGGATCTTTGGTTATATGGTTGTAAAAACTGAGGAGGTTAAAAAAAAAAACACTAGAACCTGGTGTGTGCAGTTGGATTTCACTGACAGTTTGCCTCTAGTTATCAGGCCAACTTTGCCTTCAGGCTGAGAAACTTGTATTTGCACATGCCCAGCTCCTAGGCATTCTGACTGTGGAAACAGAGTGCGATCGTTCCGTGTACAGATCCTATTCCAGTCTCCTACCTTTGTGATACCTGAAGTTGCAGTCCTGAGCCTCTGTACGTGTTCTGCAAGGTCTGCGGATGGCTCCCTTCTCCAGTGGCTACCAGACTGCCGTGTCCTCACCACTGTCCTATTTCGTCTTTAATCCAGAAATGAGCTGACATCTCCAACTGCTGACAGAACCTTGCTTTGTTACTC